CAGAATAGCACAGAAGTTTCTTTTTAGTCAGGTTGGGGAACCAGCAAATTTCTAGCAGACTCATACTGGTATTGTGTCAATAACTTACCTTTCCAAAGGGAAGGGTGCAGAAAGTTGTTGTTGTTGTTGTTGTTTTAATAAATCTGTATTTAAACATAAAAGACATTTAGGAAATGCTAAGGAATGAAGAAAAAAATACTGCGCATCATTACTGTGGTTGTTGGAACATCAAACTTTATATATATATTTTTTTTTCCGTAAAAGTAAATCAAAATTATTGTTTTGTTAGTTTAGATTGAACTAGAGGAGTATAATATTGAGGCTATTTCTCCTCTTTCTTGTGATAATACTTATATTACAATAGGGCATTCACCTTCTACATCAAATTTTAAAGGAAACAGCAGGCACCATATAATTAAATGCACAGTAGATACACACTACCTATAATGGCGAAACACTGGAAATAACAAATACCCCAACAATAGGGCAATGAATGAGCAAAGTGTGATACATGAGCAACCTAAAATATTACCTACCAATTAAAAGTAGAAATTTTATGATGACTAAGAAAATTTGTAAAATGTTTATGATACTGTTAAGGGAAAAGGCAAAATATATTTAAAAAATAACCTGTTGCCACTATAAATACCTAATTCATAGAGCTGAAAGATAAAGATGTTTTGGCTATCGTAACAGCCAAGCACCACATTAAAGTGGTGCCAGTTGTGCGGGTGCTCTATGCTCCAGCCTAGTCATGAAGTCCATCTATTTCTCATATCTGGTTATTGCCTTCACCTCTCCAACCATTAGCTGTTATTTCCGTTTCCGATAATTTCTCGTACTCTTTATCTTTTCCGCACTTGACTCATAGCCTGTGCTTTCTAGATGTCAGCAGCCTTGATATCCCCAGCTTCAGCCCACCATTTGGGAAGACTTTCTACACCTGTTTTATCCCGCCTAAATGCAACAGGTCTTACAGGCAGAGTCCTCAAAATATACACAATTGAAACTTTAGTGTGCTCAGGCCTTAGGAGAATGAGTATTTTTATTTTCTTCTTTCCAAACTTTGCTTGTTCCAGCATCATTGCAGTAAACATTTTAAAGACTTAATAACTAAGCTTTTCTCATCTCTGCCAAGTGGTACCTAGTGGTGATTCTATAGGACTGTATTTTTCAGCCTAAAAATAAAAGAAGAAAAAACAGATGTTGCATATTATTTCACTAGTAGTTTGTATTTATAACATAGCAGAACGATATATGTATGCCGAGTATTAATCCACTGGAAGCAGAAGCTACCCCATCGAGTTAGCCAGTCCAATATTTTACAGGCTCTATAGATGTTCTATTGTACACCTAAGGCTCGTACTTAATTCCCTATAGGATTCCAGGTGTATTTTAATTTCCTAATACTGGATCTACTCTGGCAAGTAATTCTTAAGTTGTGAGTATTTGCACCTACTGCTTGATGTTGAAGTCTTTGGACATTGTGGGGTGTCACACATTTTCACCACTGTATTAGTTTCCTCAGGCTACCTTAGCAAAGTACTGCAGACTAAGTGGCTTAAACAACAAAAATGTATTATCTCACAGTTTGGAGACTAGAAGTCCAAGATCAAGGTGTTGGAAGGGTTGGCTCTTTCTAAGGAAGGTAAGGAAGAATCTGTTCCATGGCTCTCCTCTACCTTCTAGTGGTTTGCTGGTAATCTTTGGTATTCCTTGACCTATAGAAGCATCCCCTCAGACTCTGCCTTCTCCTTCATGTGGCATTCTTCCCATATGCCAGTCTGTCTCCAAATTTCCCTTTTTGTAAGGATACCAGTCAGATTAGATTAGTGCCCACCTTAATGACCTCAACTTATGACATCTGCGATGAACCTATTTTTAAATAAAGTCATATTCTAAGGTACTGGGTGTTAAAACTGTAACATATGAATTTTGCAGGAGACACAATTCAACCCATAACAACCACCAATCATTATATCTCCAGACTTTATTTCTGCCATGTTGGTGTGAGGGTTAGTCAGGAAATTGCTTTGGCTGATAAATTGTGAGTAGAAATGAAGTTTGTACATCTAAGCAGAAAATTCTAAGAATTTTTTTCCCCTCTATTATGAAACTGGCAGTGTTCCTCATGGAGGCTGTTTCATCAACCTATGTCTCAGAGTGACAGTGACATTGAACAGAGTAGGAGATGACCTTCAGTCAATATGTACCATGAAAAGAAATAGAGCTTTATGTTTTTTAAGTCACCAAGATTTGGGGATCATTTGTTATTGAGGCATAGATTAACTTAAGTTGACTGATACTATAAATATCTAAATTGAGCTAACTTGTACCATATGTTCACTTCTAATATGTGGGTTTTTTCCATTCATTCATTAGATATTTGTTGAAGACTTGCTGTGTGCTAGGCATAGTACTATGTGTTGGTTGCTGTGACAGTTAATTTTATGTGTCAAATTGGCTAGGACATGGAACCCAGACATTTGGTCAAATACCAATTTAGATGTCTCTGAAGGTATTTTTCAGATGAAATTAACTTTTAAGTCAGTAGACTTTAAGTAAAGCATATTACCCTCTATAATGTAATAGGCCTGATCCCATCATTTGAAGGCCTTAAGAGACAAAATTCTAAAGTCTCACCACCCCCAGGAAGAAGGAATTCTGCCTCCAGACGACCTTCAGATTCAAGCTGCAACATCCCCTCTTCCTGGGGTCTCCAGCCTGGACTACTCTGCGGATTTCAAACTTGCCAGCCTCCAAAAAAGATTGCATGTGCATCACTTTATAGATGCACATCCTATTGGTTCTGTTTCTCTAAGAAACCGGATTAATACAGATACATCAGTGAACAAGCTAGCAATAGTCCTCACAGAGCTTACAGTCTATGGAAGGATACAGACAAACAGAAAAATGACAATGTTATGTAGTAAATGCTGGAAAGTACTCCGTGTAATAGGAGCACATAAGAGGAGCACCTAACCTTGACTTCAGGCATCAGAGAAGGCTCTCTGGAGGAAACGAAGTCTAACTTGAGAACCAAAGGTGGCAGGTGTAATAGGAGCCGAATGCAGAGACAGGGTGGCGGGGACCAGGGATTAGATTGAGTATAGAACATGTATTCTCAGCTGGGACTTTATTGCCCCCCAGGGGGAGAAAATTGGTTCTTAGCAAGTGAAATAAACCTTAGCTATTACAATATTTTGTGACCATGCAAAGCTCAACTCCATCTGACAAAATCTTATTCCTTAATATTTAATGGGGGAGTAGGGAAGATATTCGAACAAATGTGTCTTAAAAAGTCTCCTTGGGGGAGGCAGTGATGAAAAAGAGGTTGAGAAACAGTACAAGAAGACCAATTTGAGGAGAGGAATGATCACATGGAGCCACAGAAGTGAGAGAACATAGAATATTTGAAGTATCGGAATGGTTGAGGCATAGAGTTGGGAAGGAACAGAAGCAGGGAGAGTAGTCAGGGAAGGCTGTTTGTTCAAGCCACAAATTTTAAAGAAAATTAAATCTGAAAGTGCATTTGGCTTCAATTGGCTAAATAGTTTAAGTAAAATTGGATTTTTTGTCTAAATTATCTACGCAGACTGAGCTCACTTTTTTGTATATGAATTTGTACTTTGTTTTTGTAGTCACATGTTGAATGAACCATTAAGTTTTAAGCATTTTTTAGAGATGGCAAAAGACAATTGTTAAACTCTATTCTATCTATCATTCTGGGACTTTTTAGTTTTATAATTGTAGTCTTTAGAATAGCGTCATGTTCAGGTGGGTACTTAATCATAATGCTATTCTGAAAGGCACATTAACCTCTGGAGAATTTGCATGTGATTTACTTCACTGGAGCTTCAAAGATTAAAAATATGAGAATAAAAGGTATTTTTCCTTGGTTTCATTATAGGGAATAGAATGAGAACAATGGTCTATTTAATAACCATTATCATTATCTTCCTCCCAGATTGAATTAAAATTACTTTAATATTCTATTAGGAAAATCTTTACAAATATGCTGCCAATCATTTTTTTTTTTTTATTTCCAGCAGCTTGTTAACAGTGAACTCAAAGCTAATTCAGTGATTTTGAGAGACAGTATAAACTTCATTCTAGAAACTAAAGAACTAAAAAATTGTATGCTGTACTATAATTTTAACTTTTAATATTTTTCCATGGCAGCCATAGCTTGCTTGCTGTTAAATAGAACTGATCTAATATCTAATATACTTTTTTTTAAAAGGCAGCATTCTAGTATTTTTTAGAAGGTCTTGTTATGTAAGAGATAGTACATGGAAATGGTTCTGAGTATGTGTTTTGGAATCAGACTGCCTGGATTCAAATCCTGAGGTGCAAATGTTTGGGTTTAAATGTAACTAGCTTGTGTAAAGTTATGTGATCTTATCCTCTCTGAACCTCACTTTCCTCATATGTAAATTATGGCTAATAATAGAACCACTGCATAGGGTTGTTGTGAATATAAATGAGTTAATTATGTAAAACGCTTGAAACATTTTCTGGTATATACTCAGTACACAATAATGTTAGCTTTATTATTATTACTAGTTGAAACCCCTTATTAAGTAGTTTAAAAACCATTCATTGAGTGCCATATGAAAAACCTACTTGTGAAACTGTTAGCACATCTTACCTAAAATGATCTTCAGACTCAAGATATTTTTTTAAACTTTTTATTAGCATCATTTTTATTCTCTTTGGTACATTTCAGGTCTTTAAATTGATTTATTACTTAGGTGAGGATGATATTTTGGTTCTTATGTGAGAAGATAAACACCTAAGGTTCATAAGAAAATGCACTCCTCAGGACAGTAGTCGGGGAATGAATTCCTCTTCAGAATTTTTTATTGGAGTCTAGCATTTATCTTTATGGTGCCATTTTCCCCAGGCCGACAATAGAGAAGAGAGTTTCCCTTGATCTTCTGGCATTTTTGAATTTTGATTAGAGAAACTAAAAAACTTTTAGTATTTATATCTTTCAGAAAATGTCTTTGAAATTTAAAAATGCAAAACGAATCGAAGGCCTTGATAGTAACGTGTGGTAAGTACCTTAGAACAAACAGTAGTAATTTGGTGAATTTTTTTTCCTATACATTCTTTTATCCTTATTTGGGAATTTTTTGCCTTATCAATGGTCTATAAATAAATCAACTTTAATTTATCCATTAAATGGAATAGAAGAAAGTTAATGATCCAGACACTGATTTATTTATGTAGCAAATGTATCAAACCCTTCGCTAAGCCTTGGAAATAGGCAGAGAAAAGACAATTTTGGTTGATGCCCTTATGGAACTTACCTTCTAATTTATGAACTTTTCTTATTAGCGCTATTATCTAACAGTTAATAAGAGAATATAGCAGTGGCTGATATGATTGAGAAAACTATATGTATGTGATTAAAATATGGGTATCATGGAACTGAGATTTGTAAGAAGCATTAAGTTCATTAGTTCAGCCAGCATTTTATTTAGTGAAGTCAGTTTGTAGATGGTAAAATTTTTGTTGAGAACTTATTATTTTTAATGTTAGACTAAACTAAGTCTTATTTTTCAGTTTTATAATAAGACTATAAGTTATAAAGTTAACTTTGTAATTATTGTGCTTATTGATATTAGCATTTTTTAAATCTTAGGATCGAATTTACCAAATTGGCTGCAGCACCCTCTGTTGTGAATCTTGGCCAAGGCCTTCCAGATATATCCCCTCCTCTATATGTCAAGGAAGAATTATCAAAGATTGCAGCAATTGATAGCCTGAATCAGTATACAAACGGCTTTGTAAGTATAGGAGGACTATATGGGGAATAAGCTTGTATTTCATATTGTATTGTGTATGAACATACTTTTGTCACTTCTGTGTAACTGGCTTTATGGGACCAACTGTCCCAACCTGATAACCCTTGCCCTGATAACCCTATGGTGAACCGTCCCCTACTTCCTGCCCCTCCACAGTTCTGTCTTGTGCCAGGATGATTCTATAGCAACAAAGGAGGGAGAATATTCTCTTGAGACATGTGTTTCTCTCCCATTAACATTTATGCAGCCTTAGCACTGGCCTCTTAATTAATATCCTCTTATTTCCATCTCGTTGCTTTCTTCCACTCTACCTCAACCCAACCCCCATCCTTCTGCAATTAAAAGCCCAGAATATTCAGAGATTTCCTAGATTCTACCAAAAAAAAAAGCTGTCATAACCTACTAAGTGAATTGAACAAGGTTGCAAGACACAAGGCCAATATACAAAAATCAATTGTATTTCTCTATACTAAAAATGAAGTCGGAAAGTAAAACTTTTTAAAATACAATTTATAATGGCATTAAAATACATGAAATACTTAGATCTGAATTTTTAAAATATATGTAAACTCTATACACTAAAAATATAATACATTGCTGAAAGAAATTTGATAATGCCTAAATAAATGGAGCGATATATGATATTAGTGGATTAGAGCACTAAATATTGTTAAGATGACACTTCTCCTTAAATTCATTCATAGCAGAGTTTCTTAAGTTATGGCCAGTGGTCAAATCTGACCCATTCCTTTTTTTTGTAAGTAAAATTCTATTAGAACATAACCATGCCCATACATTTGCATATTCTCCAGTTTTTGTAAATATATGTGAGTGTGTGTGTGTGTGCGCGCGTGTGCGTGTGTGTACCAAAAACATATATATATATATGTTTTTGGTACAGGCACTGGGAATGGTGTTGCACTATCACCAGGCTGAGGACATTCGTATCTCGGGGGGATGGGAAGGAAGTGATGTTGAGGAGAAATAATTTTTTTTTACACATCTTTGCCTAGTTTAAATTTTATATGAAGCATGAATTATCTTTGTAGTTAAAAATTTAAAAACACAAACCTATATCATTCTAAGAAAGGATGTTTAATGTTTATAATTGCTTTCAGATCACCCTTTGCTAGAATTTGTTAGACCTGATAGTAAAATGAAATTCAAAGGAAATTTTGGATTTCTAGGAGTGGTGACAGCCTTTGCTTGCTCCTTCTACAATTCATGCATATTTTTTGAGGTTGAATTTACAAGGTCTTTTTCTTTTGCTATTATTTTTTAGTTTAATGGCTATGTTCTATCACCTCCTCTTTTATTAATTATATGCAGTTTCTCTAATATATTATCTAAATTCAAAATAGGATAAATGTGCTATAGCTTTGTTTTTGTTGAGTTTAACTCAGTGAGGATCTGGAAAATACTAGCCAATATTCTGAAAGGAATAAAAAGATGACAGATAAATGCATCTTTGACAAAAAATGCCTCCTTTTTTTCACAGGAACTGGGGTGGATAACTTAGAAGGAACCTAAGACCCTTTTACCTCACAAACCTGGGGTGTATCCAGCCAGTTTCCCTCTTCTCCTGCATTCTGACTCAGTTTATTCCTCCAGAGCCCAGGCGCTTTCCAAACAAAAGGCACATGGCCTGCACTTGGATACGCACAAGTGACAGGAAATCGGGGTGGTTCCCCAAAAGCAAAAAGAGAAAGTAGATGTTAGACGGGAAAAAATAAAAAATACTGACTTTAATACCAAAAAAGACAAGGAGAGGGAAAGGGAACGGAAAGAAAGAAGAGAAGGGAACAGAACGTGGACGAGAAGATCGAGGAGGCGCTACTCAAGAAGTCGCAGGCCTCCCCAAGTCTCAGACTTTGTGCATTTACAAACCCTCATTTCCTGCTCTCTTGGCTATCAGTGTGAATAATGTTCCATTTCTTCCTAACATTTGCTATCGCATCAACACTAATGTGTGTTTCTTTGGTGAATTCTTTTTCTCTCTCTCCATAGTCCATTGGTTGGCATAACTTTCTATCCAGAGACTTAGAAGAACAGATTCGGGCAATATACAGTTAATGTAGGGTTTCTGGCTGATTTTAACTGGGAAAAACATCCAGCTGTATTCAATATGATTTAATTGCTGTCAGAATAAAGTACTTAAATCTGATCTAATTACTATCAAAAGGTACTACCAAGAATATATTTGGCGTTGAAGTCAATTTTTATTCAAAGCAAATACTTTGAAATTTTGTATTCTAAAAATAATCATTTAATAGGAAGTTTTTAATCATTAGTGAGTCTTCATGACCATTCATGTAGAAACCCTCTGAAGGTAAGAAAAAATTATTTTAATTTGTTGCCAATTAAAACTACAAATTTTCTTTGGATGATTATAAAACCCAAATTTGAAAAATTCTTACCTTTCAGAGCAAAATTACCTCAACGAACTAGGTCCCATAATTCAAGGTTTTGTTTTTTTTTTTCGTTTTTCTTTATCAGGGTCATCCATCACTTGTGAAAGCTCTGTCCTGCCTATATGGAAAAATTTATCAAAATCAAATTGATCCAAATAAAGAAATCCTTGTGACAGTAGGAGCATATGGATCTCTTTTTAATGCCATTCAAGGATTAATTGACGAGGGAGATGAAGTAAGTATGTTAACACTATTATGTTCCTTATATTCATCATTATCATTTGTTCTGCCTTTGAATCTTTTACTTACTTTGCACTCTTTTTAATTTTTAATTATTTTTGAAGTATGATGCATAGCTGCAAAGTTCACAAATCTAAAGTGTACAGCTCGATAAATTTTTACTTATGTTTGTGTGTGTATCTTCATGTATCCACAAACCGAATAAAGATAAAGTACATTTCTAGCCCCTAGAAGGCTCCCTTTGCCCCTTCCTAGTCTATATTCTCCTGAAGGTATCCATTCTTCTATCTTCTATCACCATAGGTTCCTTTTGCCTGCTCTTTAACTTGATATAATCGAGTCAGATAGGACGTACTCTTGAGTCTGTCTTCTTTCATGTCTCATTTTATCTGTGACATTCACCCATTTTGTTGCATGCAGTTTATTCTTATTTTTTCAGCCTTTTTAGATAAGGGCAGAAGGAAGGGACTAGCAGCCATGATGGGGAAAAATGAATCTTAGTTTTCACTGCTACAGTAACCTTTAATCTGAACATAACACGTATTTGGTCATTGCACTTTTGTGCCCAGTATTGTCAGTAGTGAGGGAAGGAGTTCCCTGTCTAGTAGAGGAGATAAACTTGTAAAAAAGTTAAGAGGAATGTAGTGTGATTGTCTGTAATTGAGAATGTATAAATTATGGTGATGACAAAAGGAAGAAGTGATCGACTCTACTAATATAGGTCTAGAAAGCTCCAGAGAGCCATTGCGTAAGCCGAGTCTGAAGAATGAATATGTTTACCCTGATCTATATTATTATTTCCTCTTTGAACTCTCACAGCACTTTATCTGTACCACTTTTATAAAAGATATCGCTATACTTTGTGTTGTATTATTATTTTACATCTCTAATTCCTTCTACTATGCCTGACAATAAGCCACTTAAGGAAACATGTTAAGGAAGTACAGTCATGCTTTCAAACACACGATCTCAATCCTATAACATAGTTGAAGGTCTTACCTCACACTTTGATGTCGCTTCCTCCTCCTCTGCACTCTGCTGTGGTATCCCAGGGCTTAGTCCTTGGCCTTCTTTTCTCTATTCTTCCTTCTCTGATCACCTTATGTAATAGTTTGAAACCACGCATGTCACTTTCTATCATTTTATCTTTATACCATTTATTACTATCTTAAATTAATTTACTTCCTTGTTTTCTTGTTTATTATAAATCTCTCCTAGTACAATGTAAGCTCCAGGAGAACTAGTTTATTGCTGTATTGCCAGTGCCTAACATAATGAGTGTTCAATAAATATTCTTCAAAAAGAGAGGGGAATTATTCCTGTTGTAAAAATAATTACAGTGAAGAGTATCAAGTATATTTTTTTAATTCGACCTCCCTACCTCCCCAATGTTCTTTCCTTTTTTGGGCTCTCACTTCATATCAGGCACTATGTTTCTTATTAGAGTTACAAAGGTAGGTAATTTCACAACATAATGAGTGTTCAATAAATATTCTTCAAAAAGAGAGGGGAATTATTCCTGTTGTAAAAATAATTACAGTGAAGAGTATCAAGTATATTTTTTTAATTCGACCTCCCTACCTCCCCAATGTTCTTTCCTTTTTTGGGCTCTCACTTCATATCAGGCACTATGTTTCTTACTAGAGTTACAAAGGTAGGTAATATTAGTCCCTGAGAATTTCACAGACTAATTAAAAACGTGCAGTCCACATGAGAGAAAGATTGGTTCCTAGTTCATTTCTTTGTCCTCCAGAATACCTAACACCAAACATAAACAAATTATTTATAGGTACACAATGTGAGTTGAATGACTAGTACAAACAAAGGGGCTTTAGAATGTAAGGGCCTCTTTTGACTCCAGTGAGAAAGGCCTTGAACAAGTATTTCACATCATAGGTAATACAAACAGTAGAAAGTGTGAATTTAGAACAATAATTAGGTACCATTAATTTAACCAACGACAAGTTAAATGAGGCAACTTAGTGCAGACTTGTGAAATTATAAATTACTGTTGCCAGATTTTTCAAAAGCAGTTTGGCTATATATAGAAAGTGCCATAAAGATGTTTATACCCTTTAACATAGCAGTAACAATCATGAAAATATATTCAGCAGTTTTTTTAAAAAATAGAGAAACTATACATACACGTAAATGGACATAGCATTGTTATTTATACAAGCAAATTATAAGAAAATTATTCTAGAATTCAATAGACTCACAAAGATTCGTTAAAATAATAAATATTAGAACTCAATATGAAATTTTTGTGAAATATTTCTAGATTAAAAAAATTTTTTTTTAAAAAGCAAAGGGACAAGGAGAACATTGCAGGGACTAGGAAAAAAGACAGAATCCAGATGTAAGTCACTTAGAGGGGAAGTATAGTATCTGACAATAACAATAGCCTCCTAACTGATGATCTTCCTGCTTCCACTCTTTTTTCAGGATGCTTTTGAGAAAAGGGAAACATCTTTATTCTCAGGATAATATTTAGAAATTAGTACTCCATAATAGAGAGCATTGCAGTGTTGTTTTTCTTTATTGTCTGACTTCTGTCAGTGTTTTATTTTCTAGCTCGAAATTTAAAACTCAGTGTTTTTGGCTAGAACATCCCTTTGGGAATATGAGAGCTATGCCTCCTTCCCCCCCGCCCCCACCCCAAAATCTACCTATACACATATAAAAACTTGCAGACAATTTGAAGGGTCCTCACTGCAAGCCTATCTGTAGATCTCCCTAAGAGATCAAAGACTCCAGTTAAGGCTCTTGACAAGTTTATCCCCAAGGTCCTTCCTCTTGGAAGATATAGCCCCAAGAAGGCAAGGCGTGCTTTTTTCACTGCTTCATCTCAGCATGTAGTATAGTGCCTCGCACACAGTAGTTATACAATATTTATCAAATGAATTAATGATCGATGTTGTGTTCTTATTTGGTTTTATTTCAGGTCATAATAATAGTGCCTTTCTATGACTGCTATGAGCCCATGGTGAGAATGGCTGGAGGAAAACCTGTTTTTATTTCTTTAAGATCTGTAAGTTCGCTGATAAGATTCACATGCTTTAAGTTTTGAAAATACCAATTGCTTTGTCACCAGTAATGTTTCTGCCCTGATTACATTTTGGAATTTACTGTATGTCTCTACTATGACTGAAGTTAATCAACAGCTTTAAGAGGGGAACTTTTATTACTTTGTCACGTGTGCCATGTGTCTCTGTTGTATCAGTGTCCACATTGTATATAATATTATCTTTTGTGGTCATGTGTCTTCTCCACTGACTGAGCACCACTAGGTCAGAGACCATTTCCGACTCTTATTTATAGCACTGCACCCCAGCGACTAACAGTGTCTGGTGTACATTTGGTGCTCAGTCACTGCTTGTTGAATTCTGAATGAAGTGATTTTTTTTAATTCTGCTATTACCTTTAGGAATATAATCAAGTGTAGCACCATTGTCTTTTTAAAAATCTCATCAAAATAGGTAACATACTAACGCGAATCACAGACTCTTCTACTAGCCTTCTAGTATCAGACTTGTTAACCATAGTTACAGCTGGCTCCTTTGAAGGAATATAGGCACTTTAACAGCTGTTAATGTTGAGATTTTTCCATTTAGCAGATGTGAGCATGAGACTCAAGCCCTCTTGGACTTTTAAGGTAGAACTAAAGTTTAGTTATTTCTGTTCGTTTTCTGTTAGTCATATTTTCAGTTACATTTACCATACCTTTCTCTACTTTTTTTTTTCTTTATTAGGTAATTTATTTGTAAGACAGCAAACACAAATTAATTGAATTAAATCACATCTTCATTCTTTATGTTTAGAAACCTGTCAATGGGAAAAAATGGTCTAGTTCTGACTGGACATTGGATCCTGAAGAACTGGCAAGTAAATTTAATTCCAAAACCAAAGCTATTATACTAAATACTCCACATAACCCCATTGGCAAGGTGAGTGAGTCTTTAATCTCTTTATACAGTTTTCTGACCCGTCATTTTCTGACACATTGAATAATAATTGGCTCTGCTATTCTATATCCTTTTATATGTATAGGTGTACACAAAAGAGGAACTCCAAGTAATTGCTGACCTTTGCATCCAATATGACACACTCTGCATCAGTGACGAGGTTTATGAGTGGCTTGTATATACTGGAAACAAGCATTTAAAAATAGGTACTGATTATTACATAGTCACAAATCTAAATGTGTTTGGGCATGTGTAGAACTGGGTTGGAAAGGATCCCAAAACAGCTTTAAATTAGTCTTTGTAATGGGTGTCTCTATGAGTACTTAAAAATGGGATTTGACTGAATGGTGCTTGAATGAATTAATGAACACATTGATAGACAAACAGTAGAAACTTAGGGGAAGAGATTTTGGGTCACACTATAAAACTACGAAACCAGAGAAGTAATACTTTTTCCTATATCCTTGGATTTTTATCAAGAATCCAGCTCTTATCTGGTACATAAGACACAGGGAGCTTACTTATTTCTGAACTGGACAATCTGTGCTGAGCAAGTTGCCAAAATGCCAGGCCAACAGCAAAGAATTACAAGAACAGTAAGCTTTTGCTGCTTGGCCCTTGCCTGGGATTTCGTCATTAGTACTGGGCCATCTCATAAAGGCCATGGTATCTTCTGTGGTAACCCACATTTATATCAACTATAGGATTATAAGCTGGGCTACAATCTTTGGGTCTTTGCACTTGCTCTTCCTATGCCTGGAAACACTTTTCCCCCAGATATCCACATGGCTCAGTCTCTCCCCTCCTTCAGGTCTTTATTCAGATGTCTATTTTCATGATCGCAACATTTAAGATAGTCATACCTCTCCTTTCAGCATTTCCCTTGTCATTTTTCTGTTCCTTTTTTTTTTTTTTTTTGGTTTTCTAAAGCAGAAATCAGGATCTGTATATTTTACTTCTAACCTGCAAGAAGGGAGGGACTTTTGTTTGTTTTGGTCTCCTCCAAATCCCCAGCTCCCAGAATAGGGTCTTGCCCATGGTAGACGATCAAAGAGTAGTTGTTGAATAAATAAATAAGAAGTATGAAAAGGACAAGGGAAGAATAATTAAAATCACTGTGGCAGAAACCAATAAATAAAAAAATTAGTGCACTTATATGCAAATAGTTGTCCTTTTCTTAATTATCTTTATGGTACATTACAAATTGTTGTAGCGACTCAGAAGAGGAAATAACTGCTCGAGGGGATCAGCAAAGGAGTAGGCAAAGACGGAATTAGGCAGAGAAATAGAAAGAAAATTCCTATCAGATAAACAACATGTATTGAGGCAAAAAGGCATGAAAGATCAAGATAAACTTAAGGAAGGTCAGTGGTTTATAAGGGTGTGTTGTAGTAACCTGCACAGATGAGAGTGAGCAAGTAGGGTGATTCTGAAGGACATTGTATCTGACAGTAGAGTCTAAACTTCGTTGAGGAGTGTCAACTTAAAAATAAAATGGCCTTTCAAAGTGAGCAGCAATAAGCATTTATTGAGATCAATAGGAATAGCTGTTCTGGAATTATTAATTTAGACAAATGCCCAAATAATGTTCCAATGAGGAGACAAAGCCATGGGTATTTCTGAGAAAGGGTGGGGGGAACAATTACATCAATAGAAGGAAGGCATTTCTATTGGTGCAGGTAACATGTTAATTTTAAACACCGTTTTCAATTTTCAAGCCAGTAGTCATAATAACTGCTTTCTTGTTATCTCTGCAAACAGTTCTCTGGGGCACAAGGTTGCTTAGGTCCAGTTCAAAGAGTATTTTGTCCTGTTTTTAACATTCCAAGATGTTTTTGATGTTAAGATTTAAGGCATAAGATGTGCAGGGCAGTTCCTCTGGCACGGTAGCTCCGGCTCCATTTTAAAGTAGCTCCATTTATATTATTATTTATAGGAGGTCAGTGGTTCTGAAACTTACTTTAGAGGTAGAGCACCTTGAAGCTACCATGTTCGCATCATGAAATATTGCATTCCATCCTGAAACAAGAAGCAATTTTCCTGACATTAAATTAGAAGTCAATATAAAAATCACAATTCCATGTGTATTTGTCTGTAACAAAGCTATTGAAATATCTGAGTTTTTCTGATTTTGCCATTAATAATGATTTATTAAATGCACATTTGTTTCACTCTGGTAGCATTCACCATCACATAGTGGTAGCGCTTAAGTGCTTAAGAAAATTTCATGGAGGAAAATTTAAAGTTGATTTTTTAAGCTCTATACAATAAGTCAATGACCAGAATACCAATGAGTATGCTTTGAGAACTACTGCAAAAGGTATGACAGCACAGGGGAATTGATTGTGTGATTGGATTTGTTTTATAAAGGTAAGAACCAGCTACAGGTGAAGGTCTTAAGCAAGTCAGGTGCCCTGGCAGTGGAGATGATTCATGGGAGCTGTTTAGAAGGAGAAACTATAGAGCACAGGGTATAGCATAGGAAGGAGGGAAGCAAGTACGATTCTGAGATCTCTAGCCTGGACCACTCAATAGCGATGCAGCCCTTAACCAGAGACGGAGATGTGGAGAGGAAGAGCAGATCTGTGGGGAAGAGCTGAGCCAAGGAAATTCTTGCTTTTCATGCTTTAGTCTTGCTAAGTTTCAGCATCTGTGAGACACAGGAGAGGAGATGTCTGGAGACAAGTAGAATTATAGGCCCGATGGTCAAGATCAAATTATGAAGGGTTGCATTTTTTGGCAGTCATCAAAATTTTGTTGACATTAGAACCCATGGAAGAGAATGCATTTTCTCAGAGAGAACGTGTAAACAGAGAAGGCCAGAGGTTTGCAAAGTGTGTTGCCTCAACACAACAAACTGGTTCTATGTCAAAACTGCATGAGTTCACCATCACCCATTTCATTGACCTCTGCCTTGGGTCATTTGAATTAATTCTCCAGTAGAAAATCAGGCAAATATGGGCAATTAATTTTTCTTAGTAGGTTTTTTAATAGAAATGTTATTAAATTATTGTTTTTTATTTTATTTAAAATTATTTTATTTTAAATATATTTGCTTTATTTAAAATATTGAAATATTTAAAAGAGTCTTAATTAAATTATTTTGTTAAGCTTATTAATTTTTGTTTTAGATTAAGCAGAGGGGAAAAGGCATCTATCCAATGAATGAATATAATTCTATATTCAACATAAAACATGTTCTTGCCCATGTGAGAATTACTCAAAGCTTTAGAGTTTTACTTAACTCAGTTTAGCAATATTCTTTCTAAACGATTACTTTAAATGATCATGAAATTATTTTTTAAACCTATATTATATTTAAACCTTATGTTACATTATAAGCCCTTCATGGTAAAAATGTAACAGATCATATTTGCTAGAAATATCAAGACATATTTAACTCAAATTTTTTTTAGTTGTCATAAGGGCCCGTAAAGACAAGAAAAAAAATGAATTCACTGTTTTATTATTTAGAGAGTGCAGTTCAGTTGTATGAAAACTTATTCTATCAAATACCGTGGCCTTTGTTATATGAAAGATTCGGGATGGCTGTTTCATCAATTTGCAGAGTACAATGGTAGTTCTTTAACACAGTAAGGCTTTCTAGCCACATATCATGAAATTAGCATCATCTCCATGTTGTCATAGGGAGTTTTCCTGGTGTAGCACTCTTCATCATGCCTCTAATCTTTATCTGACTTCTATTGAAGCTAAGTTGCCTATAAATAACTATTATAGCTGCTGTGGCTGATTTAAGGATCATAGATCATAAATGAGAAATGTAAAGAACAGTTGCCTTTCAGATAAAACTGCAACCTAAACTTACTGATATTGGATATAGTTTTTTTAAATCATCAGACCTGCAAAGATTTCTTTTTCTTTTTTACTTCTGTGTACTACGATCACGCTCTGTGCTGTGGTCATCCGTTCTGCTGATCTGTTTACTTTAACTTCTGTGGCTCCCCAAATCTCTGATATTGAGAGGACATGAACATCTAGATGTTTTAAAATTACTTAGGGCTCTTTTTATTGAAATAGTAGATTTTGTTCTTACTGGATCAGATTCATGATTCAAATGATATCTCCAGGTTTCAGTAAAATGACATTTCAGTTACAAAAGAAATCTCTTATAAAAGATATACTAATACACTGATGTTTATATACCGATCTATCGATATTTGGGAAATTAGTATAAAATTTTTTGAAAGCTATTCAGCTGATCGGCTTACTTGAAAAAAAAAAGACATCCACTTTTATATGGCCAAAACAGCCATCAAAAAATTAGCTCTCTTTTAAATACTATAATTAGGTTTAATATTTTGTGAACGAAACCTGCATTTAGTGTGTAAGTATTTTTTAATTTCCTTCATATGTAACTTATGGTGAAAACATGTGAGGATTGTATTAGTTTCTCTGGGTAATTCTTATTTTCAAAGATTTTATTTCTAAATATTGCTCTTACTAGTAGGCCTTCTGGATTTGGGATATTTATTAGTACTTTAAGGGAGTGAACTCAGCATTATACATTGTTTAGATTTTCTCTGGTCAAATAGGAAAGTGGCACATGTGTCATGGTGTTCTTTGGGAATACTTTTGAAGATCAGCAATGTCTCAAAATTTGAAGGGATATAATTATTTATGTTAGAATATTCCTTCTTTGAAACCTTTAAATGTTTTCTCCATTTATCTTTTTGGTTTTTGTTATATTTCACAGAGAATACAATTATAAATGTTCTGATTTATATAGTTTTAATACTTTTACAAATATCGGTAGGTGTTTCATGATAGACTGAAATTACACATGCACCTGTTTTGGAAATTTCCTTAGCTACCTTACATTAGTAGGCATTTTACTTGCTTATGAGAAGATTAAGAAAACAGCTTAAGTCCTGCCCCTCCAAATGAGTATTCTCCCTTTGTGTGTACCAATACTCTTAGAATAATATAAGAGCACCTATTGTATCTCTAAAAAACAAGCAAAAAACTTGTGGGATTGCATATGAAGAACTTCACAACTAAAATATTTGAGGAACTCCAAAAAGCAATGTCGTAGGTAGCATTCTCAGATTACCAAAGAAATAATTTACCACTGTCCAGCAAAATTCACAAACTCTTGAATTTTATACCTCCAGGACTTTGTTATCTGCATTCCTTTTGCCTAGATTTGACCTTCCTGTCCCCTTTTCTGCCTGGCAAAGGCCTGCGTGGTCTACCAAGTCTCAGCTGAAGCATTACTGGCTACAGAGAGGCCCGCCCCCAACACCTCTGTCCTTGCCCAGTACTCCATGCCTATTGCTATCATAGTGCTTATCACACTATATTACAGTTGTTGTTTTATGTATCTCCTACCACCACTAGACCTTAAGCTCCTTGAAGATAGGAACTGCATCTTTCTCATCTTTGTTTCCTCTAGCCCTAGCTTAGTCCCTAGTGCCTGATCGTTGTTAATAAATGTTTGATGAGTGAATGAAGAAATGAATTGATAATTTTAATGATATCAATCAACTTGAAAACCTTTAACACTCAGGTTTCATTATTTATGGAGTCTATATTTGCATACTCACCTACTCACTAAAATGTAGTTGTAACCCCAAAAACATTACTTACAGGGCTTCATTCGCAGACATGTGCAGAGGGGTCAAAAATTTGTCACCTGATAAGCATGTTCCCAGTGAGAACTACAAGGCAACTCTCTGCCTTCTCGTTTCAGCTCCTACTATAAGCAAGTACCCTTTTAATGGTGGTTTTGCTGTTTAAAGTGGCCCCTAGGGAAGTGCTCAAGTGCAATCTTATGTTTCTGTGGGCAGGAAAACTGTTGAGCATTACAGAGAAAATACATAACATTAGACTAGCTCCATTCGGGCACAGGGTCTAGTGCTGTTGGCTATGGGGATGTTTGGGAGTGATACCTGAAGGGTTTGGGGATTCTTTTGGGCAGAAAAAAGTTCTAAAATTGATTGTGGTGTTTGTTGCACAACTCTGTGACTATACTTAAAACCACTGAATTGTACACTTTAAATGAGTGAATTATATAGTGTGGGGTTTATAGCTCAATAAAGTTAGCAAAGTACACATACACACATGCCCGCGTACAGACACAGATTGCCAGGCCCCCCCCCAGAGTTCCTGATTCAGTAGGTCTGTGATGCAGTCCAAGAACTTGCCTTTCTTATGAGTTTCCCAGTGATAATTGATAAAATGTGGGGGCCACATTTTAAGAATCATTGCCCTATGGATCCTGGAGAAATACACTCAGCAGTTGGGCAGAGTAGAGGTGAGCTAAGCAGTAGCCAGGACCACAACCAAAACTGTCCATAGAATGATTATACTGAATACACAACTATAACTCACACTGAGCACTGGGTGCTGGAGCTTGTGTGATCGCTGCGCTGCACCAGCCCTGAACACTGCCTACTGGCACCTCGCCACTCCTGCCCCTGGAAATAATTTTGTTACTTGAAATTATTCAATCTATTACGTATTACTTTGGTGCCATAACACAGTGTTTTCAAGCATTGTATCATTTTAAGCTGTGCTTAGGTTAAAGTTACACTATCTTTTGAGAAACTTATTGAAGTAACTATACTGACATTTACTATGATACGTTTATGTTTTTTAAATTAAACCAAATATAGACTGATTGGAAAGCATTTAACCTTTTTTCTTTTCTTTTTCCTGTTCAGCTACTTTTCCAGGCATGTGGGAGAGAACAATCACAATAGGAAGTGCTGGAAAGACTTTCAGTGTAACTGGCTGGAAGGTAAGCCGAAGAATTTAATTGCTTAAAAACAGGCATATACTTTATTTCTTATAGAATTTTTTGTGTTTTAAATGCATATACATCCAGTTTACAGGGTTTTTATATTTACTGATGTTTTGCTTATTATTTACTCATTCAGCTTTGATGTTGGCCTTTATTCTTTCTGAGACCTAATCATTTCTATAAAAGTAAAAAAAAAAAATGGGTAATTTTTTATTTTATAAGTAACCACTAATGTCAGATTACTGCATGTTAATATAAAAGGAGAAAAATAATGATAGCTAATATTTTGGCACTTATATTATGTGCCAGGTTCTCAGTGCTTTACATGTACTGATTCCTTTCATTCTCATAACCACATTATGAGGGAGTATAATTTATTATCCCCATTTTACAGACAATAAAACAAAATACAGAGAAGTTAAGGAATTTGCCTGAGGTTACACTGTGAATAAATTCAAACCAGGGCAGGCAATCTGGCCTTCGAATCCATGCACTTAAGCACTGCACTGTATGACACAATAATCATTTATCCAGTTGAAATTTGGTTGTCTTCCAACCTCACCTCTCATAAACATGGCTAACAAGCAGGGAATATCAAAAACGAGGCCTGCAGAATCTCAAAAGCTGCAAACTAGAAGAAAGAAAGATAATGATGATTGCATGCATTGTTTACCTTCTGAAGGCAGTTTACTAACTCCAGTTGAAAACTTTTCCACAAAAATAAGTATTGCAATGACTCTAATACTGCACTGCTTCCGTAGTGTGAACATTTTACAATTGTATATATATAATAATTGCATTAAGCTTATCTACTCAATTCGGTACATATAATTAGATTCATTTTTTTAAATATGCTTTTATCTTTTTCTTTTCCAGCTTGGCTGGTCCATTGGCCCTTATCATTTGATAAAACATTTACAGACAGTTCAACAGAACACCGTTTATACTTGTGCAACTCCTTTACAGGTAGGTGTTAATAGTAATTTGGGGCTGAGGCATGGTCATTTGGTGAAGGTGTTATCTTTACGTTGTGCGTTTGAATTGGCTTATTAGTTCTTCCCTTCATGTCCTTTTTGAGCGGGGCTTCTAGTATAATTTGAGAATTTAGGAGCAGACACATTTATTGCTATTAAGAATAGTGTGTTGTTATAGCTTTTGTTTTTTAAGCTTTTTTTTTTTTAGCTTTGAACACTCATATATTGCTGATGGAATTACAAAGTATAGCAAATTCTCTGAGGAACAGTGACAGCATCAAGCCAAATTACAAATCTGCATGCCCTGTGAAGCAGAATCTATCTTCTGGGAATTTCCCCTATATCTGTTATCTGCACATGGAAGAACCTCTGTATGTGCATGGCCATTTATTGCAGAAAATAGGGGATAGTCATTATCTGTATACAGACAATTGGTTTAAATAAACCATGGTCTGTGTTAACTTTTAAAAATTATATGTCTATTAGCTTCCTATCCTTGGTAACAAATTACCACAAACTTAGCGGCTTAAAACAACACAGATTTTTTTATCTTACAGTTCTAGAGGTCAGCAGTCAAAATGCACTGTACAAGGCTAAAAGCAAGATGATGGCATTGATTTGTTCCTTCTGTAAGCTCTTAGGGAGGGTCCATTCACTATCTTTTCCAGCTTTCAGGGGATGCTCGCATTCTTGGCTTGTGGTCACATCACTCCAACCGCTGTTTATGTCAACACACACCCTCCTATGACTCTTAACTGTCCTTCTGCCTTCTTTCCCTTATAAGGATCCTTGTGATTGCATTAGCCCCAGATAATCCAAAATAACCTCTCTATCTCAAGATCCTTAACTTAAAGCCCCTTTGCAAAGTCCATTTTAGGTAAAGTAACATATTTATAGGTTCTGAGTGCTAAGACATGGACATCTTTGGGGGCCATTATTCTGTCTAACATCATGGCTGTTTAAAAATAAGAAAAGAAAAGTAAAGGAAAAGAGTGAGGAAGCTCTATAATTACTGATGGAAAGATTTCCAGAATGTATTGTAAAGTAAAAAAGAGCAAGATACAGAGCAGTATATTTATTTATGCTGTATTTTGTATAAGAAGGAAAACTACTTTCTTGAAGGATCTCTGAAAGGCTCCATAATGAAACTAGTAAAAGTGGCTATTTGTAGGGGTAAGGAAAATAGGTGAAATTAGATAGGGATGGGGCATGGGGCGGTGTGCAAGATTTTATAATGCATCTTTTTATATTGTTTCTATTTTTTTTTTAATATTTAAAAACAAGGATCTGCATACCATCCTGTGAATAATCAGAACACTAAAAGAAATTATTTTTTTGGAAGGTAATTAAAAGGGCAAAAGAGTGAAATATGTTAACTACAGTAAATTTATTTTTTTGCTTCCTGTCAAAAATACTTACTGAATAAGAGAAAAATCTATTTTGTAATTCTTTTTCCAGTGACTCTAAAGTAGTATCATGATAAAGGATAGTTCTGACATTTGGTTTTATTATATATTAAACTCGTTTTATCTTCTAAAAATAAATCCATTCCCTTATTCAATAAATATTTACTGAGTATTGGAGATACAGCAGGCAAAAATTCCTGTTTTCATGAAGGTCATAGGCTATAGGGGGGACACAGATAATAAATATTTTAATAATATACTATGTCAGAAGTTGCTCGATGCAATAAAGAAAAATAAATTAGTGAAGAGGAAGGATACAAAGTGCTAAGGGGGAGAAGATACAATAAATGGAGTAATCTTTGAAAGCCTCACTGAGAAGGTGACATTTGAGCTATGAGCTAAAGAAGGTTAAGCAGTGGCATGGTAACCTAGAGAAGAACCCTCAAAACTATAAGAACAACAAGTGCAAAGGCCCGGGGGAAGGCAACCTGGTTGTCATGTTTATATCAGTGAAAAACACAGAGAACACAAGTACAAGGAAATAGTCTTTGGCCATGCTACCCTGAACAAGCCCAATAGTATTTGGATGGGAGACCACCTAGGAAGACCAGGTGCTGTAGGTGTAAAAAAATAAAAAAATAAGGGATTGCAAGCTGACAAGGTCCTTGCAATCCGTGAGGTCAACCAAGGGTTGCCTCACCTTATAAATGAATGAATGAATGAATGAATGAATGTACAAGGAAATAAATCAGAGAGGTAGCTGAAAGCCAGATAAAGTAGGGGCATGTTTGTCACTGTTGGTAGAGACTAGTGAGATAGGAAGCCACTAGAGAGTTCTGAACATGGGACTGCCATGATCTAACTCGTGGTATCAGAGGGACTCTGGCTGCTTAGTTGAGTTGGAAGACTATTGAAGTGTTCAAAGAGAGAGACAGCAGTGGACTGAACCAACATAGGGATGAGTAAAGTGGTGAAAAGTGATTGGGTTCTGAATATATTTTGAAAGTAGAGCTGGCAGTATTCGCTGATGGGATCATGTGGCATATGAGAAAGAGAGAGGAGTCGGTATAGTTCTACAGTTAGGACAGCTGTTTATGTCTCCTGGGATTTGAGTTTTCTGGGGCAATATCTCCTACTATAGAGAATGAATAAGTTGCTGAGACAAAGATTCGGTTAAGAATCTGAAACCTCTTTTTCTGAACCATCTTATTCTCCATTTCAGCTAAGTGGCCTGTTTTTTCCCCCCCATGCCCTCAGGCAACTATATTTCGAAACTGGCCCAGGCTAAGCAACCAATCCTTATTTATCTAAGATTTTCTTT